TTATTTCAATTAATTTTCTTTTTTTAGTTTTATTGAATAAACACCTGGAAGAGGTGAATTTATTTATTATAATTATGTTGCATACTTTAAGGGAGTTGAAATATGTAAATATGACGTAAAAAGTATCTAATTGGTTAGATAATTGGTTAGATTAGACACTTTTAGTAGGAATATGAAAAAATTTAGATAAATAAATATAATTATTAATAAGTAGTTAATAAGTAGTATAATAAAATATAAATACCTTTTTTATTTTTTTATTTTGTACCTAAATTACAGACTACCTTTTATACAAATGTTAAGTTAATAAAATGCCAAATTATTGTATATTATATATATATATATCATTTATTATGTAGAGTATATAATAAATTATGAACTAATTACTGATAAAATTCAAATAACATAATAGGAACTTCAAAAGCTACTATATAAATTTTTTTTGATTTTTTCTTTATTTAGTTTTCAGAAGAGATCTGTAGTTACTTTAGTATTAGTGTATTGAGATAATTGTCTAAATGTTAAGCATTCGCTATAACATTTTATTTCCCACTTTAAATAGTAAAACGCAAATATTTTTCACTAGAGTTTTGACCATTATTTTCAGTATCTCGGAGTCCAGTGATTAGATCAGTATTTGAAGTGCAAACAAGTTTCCTGAAAACATCTTAAAAAAAGTCATAACGTCAGAGAAGTCATAAAACTTCTCAATCTAAAATTCATTTGAACCCTTTATTGCTTTATCAATAGGTTGGTGATTTTCAGTCCCTGAAGATCTCCCATGGCTACAGACTGAACTGAAAGTATTGATTGGATTGGATTGATTGATTGGATTGATTGATTGGATTGATTGATTTGATTGATTGGATTGATTGATTGGATTGATTGATTGGATTGATTGATTGGACTGATTGATTGCAGTGATTGATTGGATTATTGCTTTTAAAAGCAAAAGCTACGTGTTTTACTTTTTCTGAAGCAAAAGCCACGTGTTCTACTTTTTCTGAGCTGATATTATATGTCTTTATTAATAAAATATTAGAACTTTGACAGGACGATGAAAGTTGGAAATATATTATCATTTTGCATATACTACATAGTAGTAGTAATATTGTTACTTTTAGGAATATCTAATGTATAGATCATAGCTTTAAAAATTTTTCTTTGTAAAACTTTTTTAAATAAAGTTATTAAAGAATACTTACAGCTTTGTAGTTAGGCAAGTAGGCAAATAAGTAGGAGGTTATATAACTCTCGATTCTATATGCTTGGTAATTTTAAAGTAGAGTTGAACTTTATATAACCTATTGAACACTTTCATAGGTCTTCATAATTAATTTAGTAATTATATATCCGGAATTATTTCGTTTAATTTTAAATAAATGATATACTAAACAAATTTAATTGTTATCAAAACATTTAATACTTTAACAGTTTGTGCAAAAATAAAACGATTTAGAGAAAATTAGATCAAATAAGTGGTAGAATAAAGTAATAAGAAATTGTAAGGGACCAAGGGTGGATTGAGGATAGGTGGAATTTTGTTTGAATCGTAATATGTTCCTATAAACTGGCTTAACGTTAATTATAAGACAAATCAAATGATTTTTTCTAGAATTATTT